GTTTGAGGACCCCTGGCTCTGGAGTATAAAATCCTTAAAAGTTGAATCTTAGCTGGTTCAAGAGGTTTAGAAATAATATATACGAGTGCTGAATCTTGCCCCTCATCCCAATGTGGTTACTAATAAGACAAGGAACCAATGGAAAAGTCAATAATTGGTATCAGCCCTGGCCAGTATTACTCAGTGGACAGAGCATCAGCCTGTGGACTGAAGAGTCCCAGGTTCGATTCTGGTCAGGGACCATGCCCAGGTTGGGGGCTCAATCCCCAGTAGGGGCCATGCAGGAGGCAGCCAATGATTCTCTCTCATCATTGATGTTTCTCTCTCTCCCTCTCCTTTTCTCTCTCAAATCAATAAAAAACATATTTAAAAAAAAGAATTCATATCATAGAAAATTAGTGTGAGGTAGTCTTCATATACTAGAGGCCTGGTGCATGAATCTGTGCATAGGTGGGATCCCTCAGCCTGGCTGGTGATCAGGGCCAATTGGGGGGCCAGCTGACTAGGGGGAGGGACCACAGAGCGTTGGCTGGCTGCGCCCCGCCCCCAATCGGGGCCGATGGGTGGGCCAGCCAGCTGGGGGGGGGAGAGACCGCAGGAGTTTGGCAGCTGGCTCAGGGGGAGAGACCACGGGAGGTTGGCCGGCCGTGGGAGGTTGGCTGTGGGAGTGCACTGACCACCAGGAGGCAGCTCCTGCATTGAGCGTCTGCCTCCTGGTGGTCAGTGCGCATCATAGCAACTGGTCAACCAGTTGTTCAGTCATTCAGTTGCTTAGGCTTTTATATATATATATATATGGCTTGATGCACGAGATTCGTGCACTCTGTGTGTGTGTGGGGGGGGGGGGTCCCTCAGCCTGGCCTGCACCCTCTTGCAGTCCAGAAGCCCTCAGGGGATGTCCGCCTGATGGCTTAGGCCCGCTCCCCGGGGGACAGGGCCTAAGCCATCAGTTGGACATCCTTAGTGCTGCCATCGAGGCGGGAGAGGCTCCTGCCACCCCGCTGTGCTTGTCAGAAGTGAGCCCAGCTTCTGGCTGAGCGGTGCACCCCTGTGGGAGTGCACTGACCACCAGGGGGCAGCTCCTGCATTGAACGTCTGCACCCTGGTGATCAGTGCACATCATAGCAACCAGTTGTTCTGCCATTTGGTCGATTTGCATATTAGCCTTTTATTATATAGGATAGATTAATAGGATCTGATTTCCTCCTTATATTCAGGTAAGTTATATCTGCAGCCTTTTGACCCCTAATTCTCATGCCAGACTGGTCTCTAGTAAAGGTACCCACTATTCCCTGAGAGTCTTATATAGGCACTGTGCTAGGGACTTTCCATTCACAATTTTTTCCTCAGTGCAACTCATAAGGGGCCACTAAAGTCAACTAATAACCTACATTGTTGAGAAACATACTTGGTATCTTTTGACTCCAAAGACCTAGTCTATATAGGGAGTGTCTCAAAACACTTCAAATGAAGAGAAAAATGCATCATTTATCAATAGCAATGCCCACTGTGAACATATCAGGGGATAAGCAAAATTTCCCTTATGTCTCAGTGACTACAATTACGATTTGTCTCTGTCATAGAAATAACGTCTCCTAATATATAGCTGGTGCTGCTCCTCAGCTATGTTTTCTGAAAGTTCTGTAGCATCCAGATCAAGACCTAATATATGTGATATATGTCTCAGGCATGATGTTAGGCCAGGTGGAATGTATACAGACTCTGTATGAGGCATTATTTCCTTCAATCTGATGTAGCCTCAAGAATTTATAACCAAAACCAGAGAAAACTACACAAACAAAAAGCCAGTAACTGTGCATGAACCAGTCCATGAATATTTATTCTAATCACTGTACAGCAACAATTAGTAGCATGCACAGCAAGAACAATGTGAAATCTGAGGCTACATGATTGCAGAACTGAATACATCAGCATTTTTAAATGGCATACTACAGATAATGCATTTTCCTTTCTGGATAAAAAAGTCATTTCATGTTCCCCAGTGGAATAAATAGAAGGTAAAAATACATAAAAGGTAAAAATTAGATGTAAGTGTCTGTCCCTACACATACAGGTCACGAAAGCATCACTTACGTTATTTGATTTTACAGTTTGGATATTCATCAGCCTCTATTTAAGATGGAAAAACAAATAAAAATGTGAGCTCACCAAATTTCCTACTGTCTATACCAGGGGTGGGCAAACTTTTTGACTCGAGGGCCACAATGGGTTCTTAAACTGGACCGGAGGGCCAGAACAAAAGCCTGGATGGAGTGTTTGTGTGAACTAATATAAATTCAAAGTAAACATCATTACATAGAAGGGTATGGTCTTTTTTATTTTATTTTTTTTTTTTTAGTTTTATTCATTTCAAGCGGGCTGGATCCGGCCCGCGGGCCGTAGTTTGCCCACGGCTGGTCTATACAGTGTGGTGGGCTTTTTACAAATACACAATAATGCATGAGTCTCATGACGAATGGAAAGCCTTAATGAATTTTCTGGTTATTTTCCAAATTTACTTTTCATAATACCAAGTGGTATAATGTGTTTTGGTAGTTCACATTGTATGGGTGCTGTTTCAACTAATTGCTGCCAGAAAAAAAAAAAATGTCAACCAAGATGAAAAGCTGCTAAAAACAAACTAAACTAGAACTCTCAAATCTGTAAACTAGAGTAACCATAGTAATGCTAATTTAAAATGATCACTGATTAAACATTGTTTGTAACCAGGGTCAGAAACTTGCTATTCCTTTTACAGAACTATTATGAGTTATTCATTATGCCATTCTTCTACATTTCTGGCACCTTTAGTGAAAGATCATGTAAACATAAAAGGGGCAGTATGGAAAAACCTAGATGCCATGCTCCACAAGCTGCGTGTGTGTGTGTGTGTGTGTGTGTACACGTGTGCGCTGCCTGCACATGCAAACAGGGCCCACCTAGGCCTAAAATGGCTGAGTTGCAGGACGCTGTTGCTTGGTGACCAATCAGTATCTCCTCAGCCACAAAGCAATCTAAACAGTGAGAGATATGTCCTCTCAGCTTTAGGCACGGCCAGGACAAATACTGAAGGGCATTTTCATCTTTTCCAGTACTCTACATATCTTTTATTTTACGCCAGTTGACACTTGCTTGATTTTATCATCGGTTAATTTTAGGCTTTAGGAGAAAGCATATTCTCAAAGCTACATCTATATTCTTTGGGGAACATAAGAGGTAGAACCTAGCTTCTTTCAGCTTGAAAGCTATTGTTTCAATTAACTGTGTATGGTGTGTCTACTCTCTCCTCGCACAACCAACCTCCCAGTTGCTAGCGGTCTCCCTTTCTTTCATTAACCGCAAGTAGTTAATTAGCCACAGCCTGTCCTCTCCCCTTCTCTCGTTCCCTTTTCTCAGTAGTAATGATGTCTAATTATCAACAGCAACCTCAGGTGCAGATCTCTCTCGCTGACAGCAAGCCAGCTTCAAGTAGCTAGAATGATTCCCAGTTTGGTTGAAAATACCAAATACAGCCTTTTATTCAACCCATATATGCCTTTGAAGGAAAAGAAAATATCATTTCTGATTCTCTGGTGATTGTACTCCGGCTATTAAAAAAAAAGTCAAGGTATTTCTAAGGAAGAAATAATGTGAGATGTGGGGAAACACTGGCTAAAAAGGGATCATTTTTTTAACTTGTTGAAATGACGATTGGCTGTCTCTCAGAGAAGGAGGAGCCTATAATTCTATGTCTAGAGCAGCATAAAAATTTCATAAAGAGCAATAGAAGAGTTCATGAATTAAATGCCTCTTCAACATTTCAAAACAGGCTTGAATGAAGAGCAGGGCTTTTAAATGCTCCATGGAAACTGTTACCTAAGAATATCAATTGATGGATTACATTTTCTCCCATAAATATGTGGAATCTTTACTGAAACGAAAAAAAAAAGTGTTTCTTTATTTGTAATCTGGGAGTTGTTACGCTATATTAGGTGTATTAGCAGCAATTCTTTAACAACTCTGCATTAATTTTCGAATGAAAATGTGTGTATCCGAGTATAAGAATGCTGGCTTGAATTACTGGCATCCATGTTTATCTTAGTGCCTCGGTAACCATTACAGAATTTATGTTACTTAGGATTTTTAATTAATGTTTTATACATAGCAGATATAACCAAATCTGTGCAAGTATAAACTTACTGGACCAGGTGACGCTATCAGCAGGCAACATGAAAAACAAACTTCCCAGCTAGCAATGTTTTAAAAAACATATACTATATTATTAAATAACGTTTAGGTAAATAAATCTTAAACAATTATTCTATTCATTTAATTACCTCAATATTGCCCAAAGGAAAATACAGTCCGATGTTCTCAATTCCCATTTTGTCTAACTATTTTTTTAAAATCAGGTTCTTAATGCTACTCCTCATGCAAATGAATCAAAACACTTCCTTGGCTACAGCAGACTTCTGGGCTCATCCAGATGTAAATAAACCTCTATTTTAATCCGTGGCCATCTCATCCTCATTAATTAGGAAAACAAGGCAGTAATCTCAGCATCTTCTTTAGCACCACCACATGGTAAAGAAAGCTGCATTTATAAATTTACCTCCTAGAACTTCCAGCAATAACATTAAAACAACATCACAGCAGAACTTTCATGTTTCACTTCACCTTTATTTCCACTTCTCATATAAATTCCAAAACAAATATACCTCCTTCAAACAACTACACCTAACCTCGGGAAACCAAAAATTGTTTTCCAAACCTGAAAGATTCCTCCCAGGAAGCCTTTGAGAAACCTTTCCTATGCATGTTTCCAATTTAATGTGCCCCGTTGGAGACAGAAGGATGGCTTTCAGGACCCCTCCTTTCCAGCGCCCTCCAGGAATACCGCACGGAAGCCGTTGCCGGCGGGGAGGGAGGAGAAGGAGCCATCGCCAAGCCACCCCACAGCCAGGCAAACATGCAGAGGACGCCAGACGCCCTCCCCCACCCGCCTCCAGGCCAGTACCCACCGTGGCGCGATGGAGAGAGAGGTCTCGGGGATCTCATCTGAAATCCCACTCGTTCCCATCTTCTCTCCAAGGAAATCGCTGCTGCCGCCGCCGCTGCCCGCCGCCTGGCGAGGCGGACACGCTGGGCCCCCAGCGCCAGCCCCTCGCAGCGCCCGGGCTCAGCGCGGTGCGGCCATGAGGCTAGTGCCATCCCAGACGGAGAAACCAACACCAGCCCCATTGGATGGCGCCCAGACCCATCTCTCTTTGTGGTTCACCGAGCAGCTACGCCTTTATTCGTGGAAGCGGGACGGGAGGAAGGAGATGGGGGCGGGGAGGAGTCATCCCAGAGCCTCCTCTACAACCTCAACAGTCCGGGCAGCATCCCCGGGAGCCACGGGGCGATCGGACAGCCGCGCGCCTCCCAGGCGGCTGTGTGACAATAAAGCCTGACAGTGTCGGGGAGGGGACCCCGCATTCGCGACTAGCGCCACACTCGGTCTTTGTACCAATAAGGAGACACGGTCGCCTATCGATCAGAATCGTCGGTTCTGAGCGCGCGCAGCTGGGGTGCCGGCGCGGCCTTCACGCGCCGCGGCGAAGGCGGACACGCGCCGGGCGCCCGGCAGGACCTGGGACAATGGCCCCGCACGAGGGCGCGGGACGCCGCCCGACCCCGGGCGGGAGGTTCCGGCAGCGCGTCCCGCGGCAGCGACGCCCGCGAAGGGCGGCGGGCTCCGGGCGGCGCTGCCGCTTTAAAATGAAGGACCACAAAGCCTCCGCGATGGGGGGACGAGAGTGGGGGCGACTTGGGGAGGGGGTGGAGAGGGAGGGGGCACCCGAGCCAACGGTGGCTCCCGGCTCCCCCTCTTTCCCCCCTGCCGCCCTCCCCTCCCCGCAGCGCTGCCGCCGCAGACAAATAACAGAGGAAGGCGAGGCACTCACCGTGGTCTTGACCGGCACGTAGAGCACTGGCTTGGCGCCGCCGGCGCGCGCCTCCTCGGGCTGGCCCAGCTGGAAGCCCTTGGACTTCACCCAGAATTTAAATTTCGCGTTGTCCGTGGAGCTGGACTCGGAGCCGTGGAGGAGCTGTACGATCCGCTCGTATTTCTTACGGGTCACCGTCTTGGTCTTGCCCGAGTCCCCGTAAGTCCGGAGGCACCAGTCCTGGAACTGGCGGTACATGTCGCGCTCGCTCTCCATGCTCCCCGCGCGCTTCGCACCTGTTCACCCCGGGCTCATGAAGAAGGCGGCCCCCGCCACGATGCAGGGGCCCGCGGTCCCGGCCGCCGCCGGAGCCCGTCGCGGGTGGGGGGAGGGCTGGGGAAGGGAGGAGGGTCCGGTCGGGCACCCGCAATCAATGCCCGGTGCGGCCAAGTCTCCGGTCCGTTCGCAATCGCCGCGATGCGCGGACGCCCGCCTCCTCCTCCGCGATGGATCTAAAATTGTGTGACCAGGACCATCCCAGCAGCGCCGAGCCAGAGGAGCTGGGTTTTGAATAATTAAAATCTCATTCCTTGGTTGATGACAAATCCCGATGTTGACTTCAGGTGGGCCCTCCTCGCCTCGCCCGGGTCTGTGTCCTGGGCGGGCAGGTGAGCGCGGCGCCGCCTCCCGCGTGCGCCCCTGACGCTTCCCGGCCGTGGGCCCCGCGGACCGGAGCGAGGGCTGCGCCTCCCCGGAGAACGGCCGCCCGGCCTAGCGCCTCGGAGCTCGGAGACCCCGGCCCCGGGCTTCCCTTTCTCCAGGGTCCTGTCCGCCTCGGCCTCCCCTGCGTGGGGCGTTGGGAGACTAGACTAGAGGGAGAGAAAGTTCTTACCTGTCATGTTGTTCAGCCTATCAAATCCTGCTACACAGGACATTTCTAAAAGGTATTTTTGAAACGGCTTAAAAGACCTTTTCTTCAGAGGCATTTAGGCTAAATGCCTGCCCCCCAGGTAGGTTCCAGGAGTTAGGTCCCAGGATGAGCCAAAGCGTTCACGGAGCTGGGGCCCTAGTCCCACAGGAGGCGGGGAGAGGGGGGCCCCTAGCAGGTCTCGCTATGGGGGCTGCGGGAGGACGCAGGCAGGCCGCTGGGTGGAGGCAGGGCCCCCCGAGGGCGCCGGGTCCTCAGACAGGACTCCGCTGGCTCCTGTCGAGCTGGGCACGGGCATCCATCGAAGGACGTTTCTGACACAGATGCTTAACACCCATGGCACGAGATGGAAAGATATCGAGAAACCATTTTCCCCTGCTTGGCTACAGTTTGCAGCTCACACGGGAGGTGTCGGGCGTCTGTTTTCCCTCTGCCACGTCATGGACACCCCTGCACCGCTCCGAGTGGCCACAGAGGAGTTCCCGGGGACGGTTTTCTCCGGCAAAGGCAGTCGGCGGCGCCTCCATCCAGGATCCCCACCGTCTGCTACGGGAAGAGGGCAGTTCCCATCCTCCGCGCCCGGCGATCGCGGCCGCTCCTCTTTCTTCCACTCTCGGCGGAGGCCCGCGCTCGTCCCGGGAGGCGGCTCCGCCAAGCGGACGACCCGGCCGGTGCCCACCTTCGCCCCCGGTCGTCTGGTCCAAAACGAAAGCCCCGAATGGGGACGCTGTGCTTGTACCCCCTGCGCCGCAGCCGGTCCGGCCCTCGCAAAACGGTCAGCAGCTCCTGCTCGGCCACCCTGAGTGCGTGCGTGTGGGCGCGGGGCGAGGGGTGCGGGGCGCGCGCGTCCCCGGGAAGGTCTGGCGGCGCGGGCGCCGGGACTGACAGCCCGGGCAGAGCGCGAGCAGCTCCACACTCACCCTCTGCCTCTCTCCTCACCCCACCCCTCTCACTCCCCTCTCCTCCCACCCCACCTCCCCGGCCCTCTCCCAGCTCGCTGATTGGTCAACGGGACAAAAGTTTCTGTGGAGACGGCTGGGCGCTGACGTCACGGGCAGAATTGTCCCATTTAGGGATCCCGGGGGCAGTGCGCATGCTGCCGGCGGCAGGTTCGCGGCGGCGGGGGCAGCAGCGGGCCGGGCCACAGCCAGGTGGCGGAGAGGAGCACTCAGCATCCAGGTGGGGGGACGACTCCGGCAGGGTTTCCATGGAGATTCCTCTGGGTCTAGCCTAAAAACGGCGGATCAGCTGACACCATTAGCTCAGGACCTAATTACTGCTTATTGGAGCAACAAATGAGGGAGAGGGCCAGCTGCAAAGGAAGAGTTTTTATCCACCGCCACCCCTCCCTCCTCACCCCCCCTCCTCCGCCCCTCTGGGGTCCCCAGTGAATTCTCATTAACTCGCAAGACTCCTGCAACAACAATTCCTCTTCTCTGGAGGCCACCCTGACTGCTTTTATTCTTTTTATTTCCTCCTTTTGTGTCTATATTAAAATGTTAAGATAAATCCGTTGTCCTGAGTCCTTGAATTTCCCCCCAATAAATATTACACCAATAGAGCTCAGAGAGTACACGTGGCTAGAAGACACAATATCTAATAATCTAATCCAAGTGTGCGGGGAGTCACTTTGAACTTCCTGAATTGGGTATTTATCTGCAGGCCTTTTAAGAATGTAGTACCTTAAATACATAAATATTTGGAACAAGCAGTTAAACAGAAGAATCTCCTGCATCACCTCAGTGTGGTGTAGCTCACAAGAACAGCTCTGTTAAAAGTTTTCCTTGTGGCATCAGAGATAGAGAATGACTCCAAGCGGGGAGATCTAGACTTTATTGTATGTGGTTTCATGGTTCCTATAAGATTCTAAAAGTAGAGTTAGTCCTAGGGTGGCCATTCATTCAAGAGTACGCTGTGGTTCTGTAAAAGTTACTTTCCCTTATGGTTATCACTTAACTCACAGTTTCCGAATTCTTTTGGTTGCTTTTTGTCTGAAAAGTCATCCCATCTCCTCTAAGTCTTAGCCAAGTACCTTCAGACCCATGAAGCCTGCCTGCCTTGGCTACTCACGTTAAAACGATGTCTTTAAACTCCTCTGCATACTGTCTTTCGAACATCTGGAACCTTGTCTCATAGTGAGACATGCACTTTAACTGACATACAGCACATAAGCACATCTGTCCTCCAAAAATGTTATGAAAAAATATTTGATTCCATGCAATACACACTGCGATTTGCCATTTGCTCCCATTTATTATTACTCTGATGTAAAGTGTGGCCCCAACCCAATACATTTATTTTATGATTCAACAAAAGATGACTGGCAACCAATAGTTTTTAAGACATTGTTTTAGATTATAAAGAGTATATCCCCCTTGTACTATATTTATAGTTTCATTAGTCAAATAGAATCTTGAATGGAAGGCCCCTGAGAGTGTTGTTGTTTTTTTCCCGTTACTGTAGCACAATGAAAAATGCATATAGTAAGTGCTTAGTAAATATATTTTGAGTTAGTTAATATGGTAAAGGGAGAGAAAGAGAGTTAGAGAAGAAGCAGGGAGGCACAACTCTTGGCCATCCCTTTTGACCTTTGCTGGGGAGTGTTTGGATAAAGTTGATTGTTATGGCCAAAGGTGATCCTGAGTCAGGGGGGGGTGAAAGGATTGAGAAAAGACCGACAAGAGAATGAAAGCTGGGTCTCCATGGGACGCTACTCCCTGATGAGGAGCCAGCGCCCACAAGCCGTGTCTTTATTTTATAGCAGATGCCACGAGGCAAACTAGGGGCGTGATCACGCTGTTTACAGCATTCTCGTGAGTTTCAACCCCACTCAACTACATGCACCCGAACTCTAGCACAAGGCACGTGGGGCTACGTGTTCGGACCATAGATTCGAGCTTACAACCACAGCCGTTGGCTATGATTGTGCTGGGAGGGCCCTGCCCTCCAGCTGGGACTTGCACGTGGCAATGAGAGGACCCTGTCCTTTCATTAGTCCCAGGCTTGAGCCTGGCCAAGACACTGCAGCCGCGCCCACAGTTGGTTTAAGAAAATACCCGGCCTTACCACATACACAGGTTCATTAGATCTATGACTATACTTGATACTCTATTGCACAGAAATTAGAGCACTTTAGACATAAGAATTCACAGAACACAAGCTAATGTGTAATTAACTCTCAGCTGTATTAACTAAATTTGGTATACAAGCAAAAAGAAAAACGCACAAAATTAAAAGTCATACAAGAAGCATTCTTTTTAGAAGGCACAGATAAACAGTTAATTATTGAAATAATATTCACATTGGACCAAAGGAACTAAGAGCCCTAGAATTGCATGGGCCAAGCTTTCAGAGCCATGTGGATTCTCCTATCCATAGTGGAACCCAAAATGTACTTTGCTCTATACTTGTACTCATTATTGTTTGTCTAGGCCAGGGGTCCTCAAACTTTTTAAACAGGGGGCCAGTTCACTGTCCCTCAGACCGTTGGAGGGCCGGACTATAGTTTAAAAAAAAACAACTATGAACAAATTCCTATGCACACTGCACATATCTATTTTGAAGTAAGAAAACAAAACGGGAACAAATACAATATTTGTATTTGCATGTGGCCAACGGGCCGTAGTTTGAGGACCTCTGGTCTAGGCTGTCGACATCTTTTACCACTAGCAGGGATGGGGAACCTTTTTTTCTGCCAAGGGCCATTTGGATATTTACACCATCATTCACAGGCCATACAAAATTATCAACTTAAAAATTAGCCTGCTTATATTTGTTCAAATATTTTATTAACTCACTCATTATGCCTTGGCAGGGCCAGACCAAATGATTTCAAAGGCCTTATATGGTCCATGGGCCGGATATTCCCCACCCTGACTAA